TTCTGTAGTTGCATCTTCTTGGTGGGGTGATATTTTGTTGACGGTTTGCCACGTGCTTAATCATCTTCCAAAAACTAATAGAAAAGAATCACCCTACGAGATTTTGAAGAATAGACCACCTAATTTGTCCTATTAAAGAACGTGGGGCTGCTTAGCCTACGTAAGAATTCCAAATCCTACGAGTATCTCAATTAGAATTGCATTATTACATGATATTCATTTGCAATTGCATTATGCAATTGCATTGATATAGATGGCAATTGCATCTATGCAAGCTTGCATATAATGCAATTATGAGATGCAAGCCGTGTCATTTTTTTATTATTAAATTATTCATTAATTTTGTTATTTGAGTGTTTATGTTTTATGAAAGTAAATTAAAAAAATAATTGCAATTGCAAGATAATTGCATTGATGTAGTGCAATGAAAGTAATATGAGTTGGATTGCAAAAAAATTGAGATAACAATAAAGAGCAAAAATGCAATTGCATGTGCAATTGCATTGATGTGGATGCTCTAAGAGGATTAAGCTGGCTAGTCGAACATATGAGTGTGTCTTTGTTGGCTATGCACCCAACAACAAGGCATATAGATTCTATGATTTGACTGCTCGTACTATAATAGAATCCAATGATGTCGATTTATTTGAGACTCGATATCCATTTAATACAAGAAATAGTGGGGCTAATGTATTGCCTGCTAATAGAAATAACAGAACTACTGGGGGTGTTGGATGTGAGGTTGAACTCAGAAGAAGTAAACGAGCCAAAATCTTCAAAGATTTTGGTGAAGACTTTAGTACAAAATATACACATCCTAAAAGTCTGCAGGAAGCACTATCTTCCATAGATGCAGACTTGTGGGATGAGGCCGTTAGAGATTAAATGGATTCGTTAAAAGCAAATAAGACTTGGCATCTTATAGACTTACCTCCTGGCTGCAAGGTCTTAGGTAATAAATGGGTTCTAAAAATGAAATGGAGAACTGATGGTGCTATTGAAAGGTTTAGAGCTTGCCTAGTAGTTAAAGGCTACAGACAGAGAGAATGTAGATTTCTTTGATACCTATTCATCAGTATCAAGAATAACATCCATTCGTGCAATGATTGCTCTTGATGCCTTGAACAATCTCGTGGTACACCAAATGGATGTTAAAACTGTCTTTCTGAATGATGATCTGGACGAAGAAATTTACATGGAGCAACGAGAAGGGTTCGTTATTCCTGAACATGCCTCGAAAGTATGCAAGTTAGACAAATCATTGTATGGTTTGAAGCAGGCTCCAAAAGAGTGGCATGAGAATTTTGACACCCTAGCTCTCTCACATGTAGGGATGGCAACAAAATCCGAACCCACGGGTACCCTATCCAATCAAATCCGGTCAACGCGGGTAAAACCCGCGTTGACTGCTTTTAGGTTGGGTACGGGTGTAAACCCGCTACACTATTCACGGGTTGGGTTGGGTTTGGGTTTAGATATACCCGACCCATGGGTACCCGCCCACACCTATGTAATTAATTTTTCCGGTATATTTTCTAAGCAATATATCTTCCTTAAACAACTAATCTTCTTTAAGTTTGTGGAGACATGTCTAATTTGTTCTTTCTAATTGTGTAGAATGAAGTTGATATTATGGAGTGGAGAGTGAAGAAGCTTAGTTGACAAGGAGGAAGAAGTTTTCAATTAATCATGATGTTTATAGATGTTTATTTTTAATTTTTTATAATTTGTATTGATAATTTGTGGTTTGCTTGTATGCTCTAGATTGGTGTGTTTTGTATGGATAATTTGTATGAGAAAATTTATGTTAGACGTTTATTTTTAAAGAAACTTTTTATTGTAAATTTTTACACAAAAATCCACGGGTACCCATGAACCCGCGGATACCCAGCGGCCTGGGTTGGGTTTGAGTTTTTCAAACCCAACGGGTTTTACCCTGGGTTTTTTTGGCGGATAAACCCATGGGTTTGGATATGGGTTTGGCAAAACCGGCCCCAACGCGACCCATTGCCATCCCTACTCACATGACTTCAAGGTGAATGAAAGTGACAAGTGTATTTACTACAAATCAGGAAATAATACTTGCACTATCATATATTGATATGTAGATGATATGTTGATATTTGGTACAAATATCCACGTGGTCAATGAAGCGAAATCCATGTTAAGAGAGAACTTTGAGGTGAAATATCTAGGTGAAGCTAAGTTTATTCTTGGGATCCAGATAACTAGAACAACAACTGGTTTTTCTCTAGATCAATCTGGTTACGTAGAGAAGATCTTGAAGAAATATAACTATTTTGATTGTAAACCTGTGTGTTCTCCATAGTGTAAAGCTATTCAAGAACAATGGAGAGAGTGTAAGGCAATCTGAATATGCTAGCATCATTGGTAGTCTCCGTTATGCGACGGATTACACTAGACCAGACATTGCATATGTCGTGAGATTGCTTGGTAGGTTTAATAGTTGTCCTAGTAGAGAGCATTGGAGTTCTATAAAAAGGGTCATGAGATCACTTAAGAGAACAACGAACCTTGGTATACATTATCAAAGGTATCCTGCTGTACTAGAAGGGTATAGTGATGCGGATTGGAATGCCCTATCAGAAGACTCCAAGGAAACCAGTGGGTATGTTTTTAACATCGCTGCAGGAGCTGTGCCTTGGAAGTCTAAGAACCAATCAATCTTAGCTCAATCAACTATGGAATCAGAGATGATAGCACTAGAAATGGCTAATGAAGAAGTGAGTTAGTTGAGAGGATTATTGTCAGAGATTCCCATATGGGAAAGACCAGTTCCTTCAATATTGATACATTGTGATAGCACCACGGCTATCACGGAAAGAGACTACTTATTCGTGGTAAGCACAGTATTTTGGATGTTCTATCTTGCTAAAGTTGAGAAACGGTTCTATAACGGAAAGAGACGACTGATTCGTGGTAAGCACAGTACTATAAGAGAACTCCTAATGATCGGGCAATGAGGGTGGATCATGTAAGATCCGAACAGAATCTAGCTGGCCCTTTGACGAAAGGATTAGCAAGAGAGAAAGTCATCCTTTGACAAAAAGGATTAGTAAGAGAGAAATTCCAAAATACCGCCAAGGGTATGGGACTCATGCCTACCAAACCACGGACTACTAGTGATGATAACCTGACCCAATAGACTGGAGATCACAAGAAATGGGTTCAATGGGTAATAACAAGTCATGAGTAGTATGCGAAAAGTTCATGCATAGAGAAGCATGAATCCCAGAGCAATGAAGGTTGAGTTAAAAACTCTTAATGAGATCTATACCCTAAAACCGGGATAACGTGCAGGCCCATGAAAGCACAGTCTACGAGAGAATGACAGTCAATGAAAAGATCTGGTGTGCTACACTGTCTCAGATAGAGTTCAAGACTACGAGTCACCCTTATGAAATCGGAAGTGTAACCACTATGCCAAGGTTCAACTCGAGAGAGAGACTTTGGTTTATGCTTGATCTTATATGTCTGTTGATGCTCAGACATAGTTTCAAAACTATTTAAGTGGGGGGATTGTTGGAAATGAACTTGTGAATAGCTTTGAAAGCTATATGTCATAAGGCAAGAATACCACATTGGTGGTAGAACTCCTACCAAATGGGTATAAAGATTGAGTTCTCTCACCTAAGGGCATGCCGCTTGAGGTGACCCACTTTTGTGGAAGAGGGAGGACATAACGGACCACCAGACACGATCGCGCGCAGTTTGTCCGTTTAACCGGTCGATCGAGCGAGTGGGTGGGTCGGCCTGTCGGAGACTAATATTTTTTGGAGAAATTCCAAGACTAATTATTAATCAATTATTTTGTATCCTTAACAGTTACGAGATAATTGATTAAAATGGAATATTCGAGAGATAATTCTACTTGGAATTATCTTAACAGATGCGTTTAATTAACAGGGTGATTATCTCCCTAGTTAACGCGACATATTCCCCAAGTCAGAGTGTATATTTGTGAGGATCTGGCTACTATAAATAGTAATCTCCTAAGTCCCTCTATACACACAAAAAAAATGACCAGAAACACGAGAGAGAGTGTATTCATGGAGCCTGGTTTTCGCACAAAACCGACGAGTTAGAAAAGAAGGTTGTTTTTATCCTGGAGGCGACCGGCGAGTAGAATAACACGTGCGCAAAGAAGCAGTGTCGTGAACGTTAAAAAGAGCGACCTATATCGCGAGTCAGCCAAATTTCGATAACCTCGATTTCTTTTCATTGTTATGTTACTAACAAGCACTTGCAGCTATGAATCTATTCATTATTGATACATAAGGATTTTTGAGACGGGAGAGGGAGGCCGAAACTTGGCTATCTGCCAGCCGCAAAAATTGATCGGAATGAAAGATAAAAAGGATTTGGGGTGGGAAGAATGGATATATATGTATAGATAGATAGATTACACCGCCCAACATCCTTACAATACAATTCCTTATAATGTAGCACTAATAAAATTTCTAATTATCTTTTCACGTTTGTCCCCAATCCATGGACCAATCAACCAGTTTCAACGTTACTAGCTAGTAACCAATCAAGGACGATAGTGAAGAACCAGTTGATCCCAATAACTTGAACTGTTGATAGAAGTTCAATTTTGTATCATATACCATTTACTAACACCCCCCCTGCAAACTCAAACCATTCAGATAGGCTTGAAGTTTGGATAAGCATAGGTCCGGACACCATGTGCGAAAAAAATGGGGATCACCAGGAATCAAACAGAAGACCTCACAGTCACAGAAGGCTCTGATACCATGTCAACAACCAGTTGATCCCAATAACACGATGATGGAACCATGACCACGTCCAGGCCACAGCCCATGTAGAGAAGGACGTCCGCACGACAACCCAAGCCCAGCAGTCGTTATGACGATTATTATTAATTATTATAATTTACGTTGATCATTATTGGTTCGTATTATTTGTACGCAAACACTATTTATATGAAGGAATGGAATGGGGAAGGTATCAATTACCCCCAAACAAAACCCTAAAAGCTTCTTTCTGCGCCTAGCAGGAAACAAACCCTTGGAACGTGGTTTACTTTCCCATCAAATTGGTATCAGAGCAATGATCTTGGACGTGGGATCTTGCGCCAAAGCTTATACGGCGACGGCGTGTCTCGACATGACCCAGATATTCGGGCCCTCAAACAACAGTTGACCGACTGGCTGAACGAGCCGGAACGTGAGCTCGCCGACGGCAGATCGCGGAGCGACGACAACGTGGTCGACGTTGCCGCCAACGACGATGGTTCAGTCGGTGAGCAGGTGGAGTTGTCTCTCAACGAAGCGGCGGGGATTGATGGACCTCGAACCCTCCGATTTCGCACGCAGGTGGCGGATGTGCAGGTAGTTCTACTGGTTGATAGTGGTTCGACCCATAATTTTATTTCTGAAGAAAAAAGCTGAGGAGATGCGTTTGTACATCGCACCCATCGAACCCTTCTCGGTACGGATAGCGAACGGCGAGCCGATGCGCTGTTGGGGTAGGTGCGATGATGTGAAGGCCGTGATACAAGGCGAAGAGTTCGTCGTCTCCCTGTACATCCTGCCAATTCGCGGGATGGACATGGTCTTTGGCGTTCAGTGGCTGGCCGATCTCGGCCTGGTTACGTTCGATTGGGGAGCTTTAACCATGAAATTTAAATGGAGGGATAAGGTGTTGTCACCGCAGGGCATACACCCACACCGCACGGCGGCCTCGGCAGCAGAAATAGTGCACGAGGATGGGGTTGTCTAGGCACTTTGCTGGCCACTCCAAGTCGTGGAGATCGAATCCCTCCCACCCGAGTTTCGCGAGCTGGTGCGCGACTTTGAGGCGGTGTTCGAAGCGCCCTCCACATTGCCGCCTAGTAGAGACGTTGACCATCGCATAAAATTGAAAGATGGGGCGGATACGATCAACGTACGACCTTATCGTTATGCCTACCATCAAAAGGTCGAAATTGAGAAGCAGGTTGAGGAGATGTTGGCGGCAGGGTTAATCCGACCCAATTTAAGCCCGTTCTCGTCTCCGGTACTATTGGTGAAGAAAAAGGATGGTACATGGCATTTCTGCACCGATTATAGGGCTTTGAACGAAGTAACCATCAAAGATCGGTACCCTATTCCTACAGTGGAGGATATGTTGGACGAACTCAATGGTGCGAGGTTCTTTACTCGGCTCGATCTGCGATCGGGTTACCACCAAATCCGTATGCACAAGGAGGATGCTCATAAGACATCATTTCGAACGCATAACGGTCATTATGAATACCTCGTTATGCCATTTGGGCTCTGCAACGCACCATCAACCTTTCAGGCGGCTATGAATGATCTGTTTCGCAGCTTTTTACGTCGGGTTTTTTTATGATATTCTAATTTATAGTACGTCCTAGTAGGATCACTTGCAGTACGTCCGTGATACCCTCACGATCCTGGCGTGACATCACTATTATTTGAAGTTCTCCAAATGCGCGTTCGGCCTCCGTGAGCTCGAGTATTTGGGCCATTTTATCTCGGATCGGCGTCCGCGTCGACCCCGGCAAGATCGAAGCCATGGTCGCTTGGTCCCAGCCGAAGAATGTCACTAAGATGCGGGGTTTCCTCGAATTAACAGGGTATTATCGAAAATTTGTTAGGAATTATTGCAATATAGCTAAGCCATTGACCAAGCTATTAAAGAAAGGTGGATTTCAATGGAGTGCCGCGGCCAGCCAAGCCTTCGCCAATCTTAAATAGGCTATGGTTATGACCCCAGTCGCTATGTCGAATTTTGACATTCCGTTTGTGATAGAGGCCGATGCTTTGGGAAAGGGGATTGGAGCCATGTTGTCCCAGGGAGGGCGCCTGATTGCATTTATGAGCAAAACCTTGGGGCCATCAAAAGAAGCTTGGTCCACGTATCAAAAGGAAATGCATGCCATCATTACTGTTGTTCAAACCTGGCGTATGTACCTACTGGGCCAGAAGTTTCACATTTATACAGATCAGAAGAGTTTGAAGTACCTATTGGAACAGTGGATTGCGACTCCGGATAAGCACAAATGGGTTAGTAAGTTCTGGGATTTGACTATGAGATTCATTACCGGTCAGGCACCAGCAATCGGGGAGTCGATGCCCTATCCCGAGTCGCTACAGGGGCATAGTTGGGCGCCATTCCCCGGCCAGTCTCGTCCTTGTGGGACGAGTTGAGGGTTGCAGTGTTGGTGAACCCGTACCTACAGTCAATGAAAGAGAAGGCTCTCTCTACTGATCCTAGCCACTTCACTTTCCGGGTGGGACTGATTTATTATCGAGGACGGGTGGTTCTCCCCCCACTATCCAGTTTGGTGACTACTGTACTTCAGGAATTCCATGATGGGCAGATGGGTGGCCATTCCGGCGTTTGACGCACCATGGCTCGGCTCTCCGGACATTTCTATTGGCCGCAGATGAGACAGGCGGTACAGGATTATATCGCCAGCTGTGACACGTGCCAGCGTGTTAAGACGGATTCCTTGTCACCCGCAGGACTTTTACAGTCGTTGCCCATTACCTGCCGGTATCTGGGGGTCACTCATTTTTGTTCGTCGTGGTGGACCGACTAACAAAGTACGGTCATTTTATGTCTCTCAGTCACCCATTTTCGGCCCGACGGGTGGTGGAGGAGTTTATTAATGGCGTGGTTCGCCATCATGGCATGCCTACCTCAATTGTCTCTATCGAGATGCTTTATTCATTAGTACTTTCTGGAAGGAATTCTTTGCTCGCATTGGCACCCGCATTCACATGAGCACTGCCTATCATCCCCAGTCAGATGGCCAGACCGAGGTAGTTAATCGATGTCTGGAACAGTATTTACGCTGTTTTGCCCATTCCCAGCCTCGCCGTTGGCACATGTTCCTGCCATGGGCCGAACTTTGGTATAGTACGTCATTCCAGTGCTCGATCGGCATGACACCGTTCAAGGCTCTGTATGGCCGAGAACCCCCTAGCATTATTCCTTATGCTGAAGGCGATAGTGGAGTCGGGTCAGTCAACCAGCTTTTTTGTACTCGAGATGATATCTTTCAGCAGCTTAAGACGACGTTGGAGGCAGCTAATGCCCATAATAAGCAGCTGGCGGACATGAAACGGCGGGATCTTCAGTTCGAGGTGGGCAATCTGGTTCTCTTGCGATTGCAGCCATACTGTTAGAAACGGAACAACAAGAAGACCGAGGATACCGAATCTGGAGCTGAGTCGCGGACTAGGTCGCTCTCTTTAAGACGTTCGCGGCACTGCCCTCGATGCGCACGGCAGACTATCAACCGGTCGTCTCCAGGATAAAACAGCTCCTCTCACTACTCGCGGTTTTGTGCGAAAACCTGAGTTCTCTGAACACTCTCTCTTTTGTGTTTATGCTCGTTGTGATGTCTTTAGAGGGGCTGGGGAGGCGGCTATTTATAGGAGCCGAACCCCTAGGAATATACCCTCTAGCTTGGGGAATAAGTCGGATTAATTAAGGAAGATAATTACTTCCTTAATTAAAACCGTCGGTTAGGATAAATCCTGCTGGGATTATCCTTCGAATATTCCTTTTCAATCGATTATCCCTTAGAATATTCCTCAGAATAACCGATTAATAATTAATTATTAAATAATTAATTTCGTTCGGAATTTCTCCAAAAAATATGTATATAGTCTCAAGTGATCCAACCAACCAACCAACCGGTCGGTCGGACGGACGGACGGCGCGCGCGCGTGTGTGTGTGGTGGTCCGTTAGGTCCTCCCTCTCCCACAAAAGTGGGTCACCCCAAGGGGCATGCCCTTAGGAGAGAGGCTCCTATCTTTATAATCACTTCACCAAGTAAAACTACCAATGTGGTAGTTTTTCCACTTGAGACTCTATAGCTTTCAAAGCTATTCATACACATTTCCAACAATCCCCCACTTGAATAGTTTTGAAACTATCTCTGAGCATCAACAGTTCCATAAGATCGGGCATAAGCTAAGGTATCGCGAAGATTTGAACCTTAGCGTAGTGGTTACACTTCCGATTTCATAAGGGTGACTCGTAGTCTTGAACCCTATCTCAGACAGTGTAGCACACCGGATCTTTTCATTGAGTTGTGTTCTCTTCTTAGCCCGTGCGTTTATGGCCATGCACGTTATCCTGGTTTAGTGAACGCTCTAGCAACTTTGTGCCTCTCAAAGTTCCATAGGGAGCGGCCCCACTCCCACATTCACATAGGTGAGTCTATCAGGAGTACCCCCAAAGTAAAGTACTCCACCCCACATAGGGTATAGATCTCATTAAGAGTTATTAACTCAACCTCCATTGCTTTGGGATTCATGCTTCATTATGCATGAACTTTTCGCATACTACTCATGACTTGTTATTACCCATTGAACCCATTTCTTGGGATCTCCAGTCTATTGGGTCGGGTTACCATCACTTGTAGTCCGTGGTTCGGTAGGCATAAGTCCCATACCCTTGGCGGTATTCTGGACTTTCTCTCTAGGTAATCCTTTCGTCAAAGGATCAGCTAGATTCTGTTCGGATCTTATATGATCCACCCTCACTGCTCCTATCGTTAGGAGTTCTCTAACAGTACTATGCTTACGACGAATCTGTCGTTTCTTTCCGTTATAGAACCGGTTCTCAACTTTAGCGATAGCTGCGGTACTATCACAATGTATCAATACCGGAGGGACCGGGCTTTCCCATAGGGGAATCTCTGACAACAATCCTCTCAACCAACTTGCTTCTTCACTAGCCGTTGCTAGTGCTATCATCTCTGATTCCATAGTTGATTGAGCTAGGATTGTTTGTTTCTTTGACTTCCAAGACACAGCTCCACCAGCGATGTTAAAAACATATCCGCTGGTTGCCTTGGAGTCATCTGATAGGGTATTCCAATCCGCATCACTATACCCTTCTAGTACAGCGGGAAACCTTTGATAGTGTATACCAAGGTTTGCTGTTCTCTTGAGGTATCTCATGACCCTCTCTATAGCATTCCAATGCTCTCTACTATGACAGCTGTTAAACCTGCCAAGCAATCCCACGACATATGCAATGTCTGGTCGAGTGTAATCCGCAGCATAACAGAGACTGCCAATGATGCTAGCATATTCTGTTTGTCTTACACTGTCTCCAGTGTTCTTGAATAGCTTTACACTAGCATCATACGGAGTACACGCAGGTTTACAGTCGAAATAGTTATACTTCTTCAAGATCTTCTCTATGTAACTAGATTGATCTAGAGAATAACCATTTGCTGTTCTAGTTATCTGGATTCCAAGCATAAACTTAGCTTCTCCCAGATCTTTCACCTCAAAGCTCTCTTTTAACATGGCTTTCGCTTCATTGACCACGTGAATATTTGTACCAAATATCAACATGTCATCTACATACAAACATATGATAGTGCAAGTGTTATTCTCTGACTTGCAGTAAATACACTTGTCACTTTCATTCACCTTAAAGCCATGTGAGAGAACGAGAGTGTCAAACTTCTCATGCCACTGTTTTGGAGCCTGTTTCAAACCATATAATGATTTGTCCAACTTACAGACTTTCGAGGCATGTTCAGGGATAACAAACCCTTCTGGTTGTTCCATATAGATTTCTTCATCTAGATCACCGTTCAAAAAGGCAGTCTTAACATCCATTTGGTGTACCACGAGATTGTTCAAGGCAGCAAGAGCAATCATGACACGAATGGATGTTATTCTAGATACTGGTGAATAGGTGTCGAAGAAATCTATATTCTCTCTCTGCCTGTAGCCCTTGACTACTAGGCGAGCTCGGAACCTTTCGATTGCACCATCAGGTTTCCGTTTCGTTTTTAGAACCCATTTATTACCTAAGACTTTGCAGCCAGGAGGTAAGTCTGTTAGATGCCAAGTCTTATTAGCCTCAAACGATTCCATTTCATCTATAACGGCCTCATTCCAAAAGTCTGCATCTATGGAAGTTAATGCTTCCTGCAAACTTTTTGGATCCTCGAGGGTGTATACTGTAGTAAAGTCATCACCAAAATCTTTAGAGATTCTAGCTCTTTTACTTCTTCTGAGTTCATCCTCAGATCCAACACCCCCACTAGTTCCGTTATTTCTAATAGCGGGTAGTACATTACCCCCACTATTTCTCGTTTTAAATGGAAATCGTGTCTCAAAGAAATCAGCATCAATGGATTCTATTATAGTACGAGCATTCAAATCATAGAATCTATATGCCTTACTATTGACCGCATAGCCAACGAAGACACATTCATATGCTCGACTAGCCAACTTAACCCTCTTAGGATCCGGAATTCTTACGTAGGCCAAACAGCCCCACGTTCTTAAATAGGACAGATTAGGTGGCTTATTCTTCAAGATCTCATAGGGTGATTCTTTTCTATTTGTTTTTGGAAGACGATTTAGCACATAGCAAACCGTCAACAAAATATCACCCCACCAAGAAGAAGCAGCTCCAGAATTGAGCATAATAGCCACAACTAATTCTGTAAATGTCCTATTTTTCCGCTCAGCTTTACCATTCATTTCTAGTGAATATGGTGCCGTGGTTTCATGAATGATACCATGTGAGCTATAGAATTCCTTGAAGGGATTAGAGTCATACTCTGATCCTCTATCGCTCCTAAGTCTTTTTATCTTTCGATTGCACTGATTTTCGAATTCAACCACAAATACCTTGAACATGTCAAGGGCTTCACTTTTGTTTTTCATCAAATAAACAAAGCAATAATCAGAGCAATCATCTACGAAAGTGATAAAGTATCTCTTGCCAGACCTAGTTAACGTCCCATCTAGTTCACAAATATCAGAATGAATCAGATCTAAGGGTTCTGATTCTCTACTCACAGATTTATGGGGCGTTTTCGTTATTTTAGCTTGGCTACAGAAATCACATTTATCAAATTCATTCATTGAGAGTTTAGGGATATGTCCTAGCTTGCTTAAATTCTTCACAATTCATGTGTTCACATGACAAAGACGAGCATGCCAAACATTCAAATCACACACCATGTAAACTGAAGAATTCATCTTATTAATTTCGACATTCAACTTGAACATCCCATTACATGCATATCCCTTTCCCACAAAACTCCCATTCTTAGTAAGGGTATACAAGTCTGCCCCAATAGATTGATTAAACCCAGCCTTATTAAGAAGATATCCAGAAACAAGATTCTTCCTTATCTCTGGAGTGTGCAACACATCCTTGAGCACCATCTTCTTCCCAGAGGTGAAGTTCAGCTCCACTTCACCAGAACCAGCAACCATAGTGGTGTGAGTAGTCCCCAACAACACTTTCTTGTCAGCAGGTGCTTCTTCGTATGTTTTAAACATAGCACGATTGTTGCATACATGCTTCGATGCACCTGTATCCAGCCACCATCCTTCTGAGTCACCGGTGAGGTTAACTTCAGCGATCATCTCTGTGATCATGGCTACCAAATCCTCTTCTGTCAAGTTAACCCTGGCCGCAGCGGCGGGGTTATGCTTGTTCCTGCACTTTTTTGCCATATGACCCGGTTTTCCGCAATTAAAGCAGATAAACGGAGGGTCATTCTTAGAGGTTTGGGTCATATGACCCTTTGGTTACCTCGAGAGGCACCATTCTGATGGGGGCGGACCTGCTGGTTCTTACCCTTAAATCCTTTCTGGTTAGGTTTAAGAGCTCTAGGGGTGGGTCGTTTAGCAGTGACGACCATCACCTCTTCTTTCATATCCTGCTTGCGGGACTCTTCCTCAATCCTTAGGCGAGTAATCAAACTTTCCAGTGAAAATTCTTTGGTTTTATGTCTAAGCATATTCTTAAAATCTTTCCACGAAGGGGGCAGCTTATCAATAATGCAAGCAACTTGAAATTGATCGTCTAGAGGCATACCTTCAGAGACGATCTCATGAGCTATTTTCTGAAGTTCGTGGGACTGAACTTCGACAGACTTGTCATCCACCATCTGGTAGCGCAGGTAGCAGCTGACAGCATACTTCTTAGCTCCAGCCTCCTCTGTGTCGTACTTCTTTTGGAGCGCATCCCAGACCATCATTGCGGTGTTCTTGCTGTCCGCATAGTAATCGTAGAGGTCGTCTGCCAGGCCGTTGAGGATGTAGCCCTTGCATAGGAAGTCATGCTCCCTTTCCTTAGCAGCAGCAGTCCTCTCCTCATCGGTCGCTTCTTCCGGCAGCTCGACGGGCATGCTAGTGAGGCAGTGTGCCAACTTCTTGGTCGTCAGGTAAAACTCCATCTTTTGTTTCCAGCGACGAAAGTTGACTCCAACGAAGCGAAGCGGTCGATTGATATCGACAGCACCAGATCCGGCCATGCTGAGTCGCGGACTAGGTCGCTCTCTTTAAGACGTTCGCGGCACTGCCCTCGATGCGCACGGCAGACTATCAACCGGTCGTCTCCAGGATAAAACAGCTCCTCTCACTACTCGCGGTTTTGTGCGAAAACCTGAGTTCTCTGAACACGTCTCCAGGATAAAACCCCTAGGAATATACCCTCTAGCTTGGGGAATAAGTCGGATTAATTAAGGAAGATAATTACTTCCTTAATTAAAACCGTCGGTTAGGATAAATCCTGCTGGGATTATCCTTCGAATATTCATTTTCAATCGATTATCCCTTAGAATATTCCTCAGAATAACCGATTAATAATTATTTATTAAATAATTAATTTCGTTCGGAATTTCTCCAAAAAATATGTATATAGTCTCAAGTGATCCATCCATCCAACCAACCGGTCGGTCGGTCGGACGGACGGCGCGCGCGTGTGTGTGGTGGTCCGTTAGGTCCTCCCTCTCCCACAAAAGTGGGTCACCCCAAGGGGCATGCCCTTAGGAGAGAGGCTCCTATCTTTATAATCACTTCACCAAGTAAAACTACCAACGTGGTAGTTTTTCCACTTGAGACTCTATAGCTTTCAAAGCTATTCATACACATTTCCAACACATACCGGCAACACTCTTTGTTCCGTCGTGCCTCTCAGAAATTGGCGGCTCGATATTTTGGTCCTTACCCAGTGGAGGCACGCGTTGGCACAGTGGCCTATCGATTGACATTGCCGGATGGGGTACGTATTCACCCATCTTTTCATGTCTCACTACTTAATCCATATAGGGGCCCTCCTCCTATGGCCGAGCCCACACCATTGCCTGTGAATGACGATGGGGAGCTGCAAATTCAACCGGCGGAGGTGCTTGATCACCATCGTTGGGTGCGCCAAGGTGGGACGTTCGTGGAAGAATGCTTGGTGCGTTTGGAAGCATTGCTGCAGGACGATGCGACGTGGGAACTGCGGACGAGACTCGAGGAGCGCTTCCCCAGTTTCGACCTTAAGGGCAAGGTCGCTCTTCCAGAGGGGAGCAATGATGGAACCATGACCACGTCCAGGCCACAGCCCATTCAGAGAAGGACGTCCGCGCGGCAGCCCAAGCCCAGCAGTCGTTATGACGATTATTATTAATTATTATAAGTTACGTTGATCATTATTGGTTCGTATTATTTGTACGCAAACACTATTTATATGAAGGAATGGAACGGGGAAGGTATCAATTAACCCCAAACAGAACCCTAAAGGCTTCTTTCTGCACCTAGTAGGAAACAAACCCTTGGAACGTGGGTTATGTTCCCATCACTCGAACTGTTAAGAGAAGTTCAATCGTGTATCATATACCGTTTACTAACAGACGATCTATACATTCATTTGACATCAAGTCTGTGAGTAACGATATCTAGTTCCCTTCTGCTGATTCCAATGGAGAGGCGCCAGGAATCGAGGAGGAATTCCGGCACGAGACGAGCCAAGTACCACTGGACGGAGTGAGCCCAATACGGCGTGCAGCGAGCCTCGCCGCCGATCCTACGAACTGCTGCCTCTGCGTACGCCTCTGGCGACGGTATGAAGAGCGATGGTTTCTCGATCATGGCCACTTTGCGCGTCATTTCGGTGGCTACGTACAGCGGCACCTGACACTGGACGTCGATTCCCATCTGCTTGTATTCCACATGCAAGGATCTGGACAGCTGATCCACGTAGCTGCATCAGTAATTCAATATGCAGTAAAAATCAATTCAGATCAGATAAAATTAGTTCAAAAAATGGGGTGGCACTTTATGAATGCCGGTTGTGGGAAGTGGAAGGGCACATGCATTGCATGTACCCTTTGGTCCCAAAGAATAGTACTGCTGAACCCGTGGCCACATAGAAATTTTGTATATGCATATATGGTTCTAATAATGGACCGCTCTCTCTCTCTCTACCTTACACTTACGCCACCTTCTTTTTTTTTTTTTTGTGTTCATTACGTTGCATCTTTTCCAATGTCCAAATGTGGATATGATGATGGTACGTGCCTATAGGCATTGTACCCATCATACTTTGACATTTGCTTGCTTGTGGTGGCAATCGAGGAAACCTCGCTCTAGGGGTACGTGTCCGTTTGGGTCGGGATCGGTTACCCGAAATCGAATCACTGAAAACGGAACCCGGTAAGGAATTTTGGTTTCCGGTTACCCGAAATCCGAAAAATTTCTTATCGGATTTGGGTTCGGTTAAAGCAAAACCGAACCCCCGAAAACCCGAACGCCTAAGAATACGGGCTGGGTGCTATATCTTGGAGGTTTTCAGCCGAAATCCGCAAAATCGAACCCGAAAACTCGAAACAAACCCAAACTAAAAAAACTGAAAATGTATCTAATCGGGTCAGTTTCGGATAAACCGGGGGAAAATATGGTATATCGACTTACGCTTTAGTGGCGGCATAAACGGCGAAGAGCGGATGAGAAGGCAGAACAGCAGCGGCGCCGGAGCCTAAACTGACGATAGCTCCCTTCCCTCTCTCGAGCATCCCGCCCAATAACACCGCCCTCGTCACCATCGTCGTCCCCACCAAGTTCACTCTCACCATCTCCGTCCACACCTCTTCCTCCACCTCGTGGAAGTACCTGGCTCCAGGGTACGTCATCCCGACGTTGTTCACCAACACGCCGATCTCCAGCCCACCGATGCCATCCCTCACCACTCTCTCCACGTCTGACGTGGTCGCGAAATCCACCTCCAGTGTCCTGATCTCCACGTGATTGCCAACCTCGGACGAAATCTGGGCCGAAGCCCGATCCAACTTGGCGGGGCTCCTCCCGACCAGGACGAGGTTGAGGCCGCCGTGTCGGGCCAGCTGGACGGCGAAGGCCAGGCCGATGCCGTCGGTCGAGCCCGTGACGAGGGCCCACGGGCCGTACCTGGTCTTCAGGTCCTCTGGCTTGGCGGCGGCGGTGGTGGTGGAGAGGTAAGTGAGGAGAGGGATGATGAGGTGGCGGGAGAGGGAGAGGAAGCCGAGGCAAGTTAGGAGGAGAAGCCACGAGTCCATAATAACTTTGGCTCTTTTTTTGGAAGAAGAGTGAGAGTGATGGTAGCTAGCTAGGGAATCATGTGAAGAAGAAGATGAAGAGCATGTAAGGAAGTATATAGCTCGGTGGTTGTAACTTAGGGTGTCCATTCTGGTTCGGTTTTTCGGGTTTACTTGAAACCAACTCGACTAGATATATTTTAGTTTTTTTTTATTTTTAGGTTCGGTTTTGTTTCGGGTTTCGGGTTTTTGAGTTTCGACTGAAAACCTCCATTAAATAGGACTCATCCCATATTCTTAGGCGTTTGGGTTTTTGAATTTCGGTTTTGCTTTAACCGAACCCAACCCAATAAGGAATTTTTCGGGTTTCGGGTAACCGGAAACTGAAAGTTCTTATCGGTTCGATTTTCAGTGAATTCGGTTTCGAGTTTTCGGGTGTTGTCGGGTTTCGGTTCTGGGTAACTGAACCCAACCCGAACGGACAACCCTAGTTGTAACTTATAGGTGGTTTTTCAATCTGCTGGTTATGTTAGGGGATGAATTAATGGTGATGGGTACTTGGCAGCTCATGGGAGGTGTTTGTTAAATATGGTGGCAAGGCAAGTGGATCCAATTAAGTGGCCTTCTACGTGGTAGTTGCCTTTGCCAATTGTTTTTTTTTTTTTTATACCCGGCTAAGTTACAATGTGGCTAGCTATAATGACTAAGATAAAAAAATAATGGTGTTTATTTAAAAAGAGTATCACTTAACATGATACACCTTAAAAGTATTCCTAGGAATGTTAGGATTTTATTGATGACACATTTTAAAGTATGCCCTTGGTACCACATTACCAGATATGTGTGAAATTTGAAAGAGTATTCGGTAGGAAAGGGCTTTTGTAGCTAAACTATTAACATCATTCCAATTACATTTATCAACATATATATATCGATGATGTGATCTTAAAAATTTTCTTTTCAGGAAGTTATTACTTCTTTGGCCAAATACACTTGTATAGCCAAAATTTTGACGGTTTTGCCAAATATAGCCACTTTTGGGGAAATACCAATAGTAGCCACTTCCGTCCAATTCTTTGACGGTGTTAACCAAATAGCTGACTGGACTAACGACATTGCTGAGGTGGTGGTGACATTTTTAAACAACATTGCCACATAGATTAATGAAAAGATTAATAAAAAAATAAAAAGATTAATAATAATAATAATAATAATAATAATAAGAAGAAGAAGAAGAAGAAGAAGGAGAAGAAGAAGAAGAAGAAGAAGAAGAAGAAGAAGAAGAAGAAGAAGAAGAAGAAGAAGAAGAAGAAGAAGAAGAAGAAGAAGAAGAAGAAGAAGAAGAAGAAGAAGAAGAAGAAGAAGAAGAAGAATAAAAAAATAAAAAGAATTATTAATAATAATAATAATAATAAGAATAAGGAGGAGGAGGAGGAGGAGGAGGAGGAGGAGGAGGAGGAGGAGGAGGAGGAGGAGGAGGAGGAGGAGGAGGAGGAGGAGGAGGAGGAGGAGGAGGAGGAGGAGGAGGAGGAGGAGGAGGAGGAGGAGGAGGAGGAGGAGGAGGAGGAGGAGGAGGAGGAGGAGGCCGTCATCTTCCTTCGCGCGATCTCTCCCTCCAGAACCGCCGATTTGAGCTAGAAGAGAATAATTGATTCTGGGTTTTTGGGTTGGGTGATAGGGTTAGGAGGAAATCGATTCTGGGTTTTTGAACAATCGATTCTGGGTTCTAGAACGATAGGGTTAGGGGGAAATCCCTGCTTTTGGATAGCGGGTGTTGGATTCTTGCTTTTCTTTCCGCTGGGTTTTTGCAGGGAGATGACGACGGGAGGAGTTGCGGCATGGGATTGATTTTGGCGTCGGAGTGCTGCTCCCTACCGGCGTCGAGTTCGCCTTCTCTGTCTCTGGTGAGAACAAAACAGAGACAGAGATTTCCGTCGGATGCTATGGGCCATAAGGAGATCGTAGGGTTAGTATGTTGTCGCAGCGGTGTCGGCGGGGTCGGTGGTGGGTTGGATCTGGAACGCTGTCGGAGTGGGAGGAGAGGATATGGGTTTGGGGTTGGGGTCGGTGGTGGAAGGAGAGGGAGAGGAAAGGGTTTTTCGATGGCGAGTGGTGGGAGAGGAGAGAGGATGAAATTTTTTTTGTCATTTTTTATTTATTTTTAAATTAAAAAATGACATGGCAAGTATTGTTATATGACATGGCAAGTATTGTTGAGTTGTTAATGATGTGTCCGGTGAGTTGGCAGCCAGGTAAGCGTTTGGTTAATTTGACTAACGGTGTTATTGGCACCGTCAAACTATGTAACGAAAATGGCTATATTTGTCATCGAACTTTCAAAATTCTGGCTATTTCTGGTATTTCTCCAAAAGTGGTTATATTTGTCACAAACGTCAAAGTTTTGACTATACAAGTGAATTTGGCCTACTTCTTTTCATTTTATTGTATAAACCCATTTAGAGAAACATATTAGTCGTTGTTTTCCTGATTAGGCTAACAGTGGTCAAGTTAACTAGTTAGGTCATGCCAGAAGTTGGCTAGATTAGTATATTAATTGGAACCCTCAAAAGACCTAAAATTTATGTTTCTCTCTTCTCAATCAATCAAATGGTTCATGCATTCTTTTTGCTTTCAATTGAGGAAGTCAACAGAGATGGTCATAAGAATCTTGCCATGCATTTTTCTAATAAATTACTATTTTCCAGTTTGACCTGTAGAAAGGGTTGATGACATAATGCTTTCCTCCCAACTAACCATTTCTTGTGACGGAATGGTAGTAAATGTGTCGCCACTCAGAATTCAGATCCATTTCTGCTGCTTGCAGTGTGCTTACTGGTCGCAAAAGACACAGGTCTCAAGAAGGTATCGCCTGCGTTTGACTGTTCTGGTCACATTTAGCTGGCTATGTTTAATATCTGTAGTCACGATTTCCCCGTATGCATGCAGCCCAGTTTCTGTTCGATCTGCTTCTCTCATACAATGCAATGCTAGCTTCTTCTTTTATGATATGATATCAATAACTGCAACCAACACTCCGATCAGTTCACGTTCACCCACTACCTGTAATGTTGAGGAGGAGTTTTTAACTGGAGCTCTGTCACTTTTGCAGAGATGGGTTTGCTCGTTTTAATTTCATTTGGCGATCAAAGTTAAAGTGCGCGTGCCACATGCGTAGTAGATTTCGTATCAATAACGCGTAGTAGGTCTCGTATCAGCAACTAACTTTTACTTAGGTTAGGCTATGGCCTCATAATCAATTCAAGAACGCAAACCCCATATGTATACATTCAAAGACTTAGGTTAGATCTTTCTACTAGTGTGACCACCACACCTTACCTTTTTCCCAAGCCTTCACATGATGAAAGAGCACGGATCAGGGGCGGATCTACACATAGGCTCGAGGGGGCCCCGGCCCCCCCGAGAATTTCAGAACTTACGTATAAACTATATCGGTATTTGAAAATTTCGTATAAACTGATAAGTTATAAAATAGTTTACTGTGCTTTATTATAACACCAAAGTAAATTAGCCCAGTAGCCGGAAGCCTTCTATCCCATCCATCAGATTATGGGTTCGAAACTCAGAAGGAGCATATTTTAATTTTAGTTTTAATCTCACATTAACTTTTATCTTATGATTCTCAATTCTGTAATTTCAATATGGTTTCTTAAACCTTTTATTTTCACTATTAAGTTTTATATGGATTCAAATTGATGATTTGATAATATTAAAAAATTATTTTGATTATTGTTTTTGCTTAATTTTATTGTCTTTTCGCAGCAACAAAATAAATCCCCCTTCGGAACGTCAAATTATGTCTTCGTCTCTAACTCAAAGATGAAATGAATTTTATGCACTTTCAACTGGTAAATCAATACTAATTTTAGAAGCACATAAATTAATGGAGTAATAAACAAAACTTATGGATACGACGTATTCACCTTTTTGAGTTTGTCTACACAAAATAAGTTGTAGTATTGATCTTATTTTGAATAACTCTATTCAACTAAAATGCTAGTTATAATAATATTAAAAATATTTTTTCCTTAATTTTTATCGTACTTTCAAAATAGTAGAATAAAAAAAATCCGCCCCCCCCCCCCCCCCCCCCCGAACTTCGAATTCTAGCTCCGCCCCTGGCACGGATCTAGGTGTGCGATTAGGGATTGCAATGGGTATGAGAATTGGGGATTTGGGATGAGGTAGAATAGGAATTAGGGTTGAGAGGAAGAGGAATCCGGTCACCGGGGTGGTGGCCGACGGGCAGAGAGAGAGGAAGGGGGCTCGGCTATGAGAGAGGGAGGGAGAGAGAGTGTTTATGGAATAATTCTGATGTTATTGCTTAACCCTAGCTTAGGCCTAACACAGAATATATATAATCCGACTAATTCTCTATACCTACCCAAAGACTTAACCTAACCGATTTAACCCCAATAATTCCCGAAATATCCGACATAACACAAAACGTCCAAATAACAAATAAACCCCCAATTAACTTATATCTAACATCTCATCCCCCTTGAAACCCACCTTGCCCTCAAGGTGGACCTTCTTTCTTCTCTTCCTTCTTCCCTTCCACTTCTCGCGCCTCCATTTCCTCCCCTTCGTCTTCCCAGTTTCCGACAAGCAGCATCAGATGCCCCTTGACGCATTGGTGCGCCCCATCGTGTACCTTTCGTCGTAGTTGAAGCAACGACCGTCTTAGCGCTTCTGATCCATTTCCGCCTGAGTTAGCCGAACAAATCCCTTGGGCGGCAGCCTTGACTGAAACCTGTTCCCCGGCGATGCTCCAGTGGCCGCCAGGCTTGCATTTCCCGGCGATGGTGCGGTACCAGCTACTCCCGCTTACATTCCTCCACTGGCCTTCTGGATACGCCCCGCCGAAGTCCTCCAACTAGCCAACTCCTCTTCCTTGCCCCCAGCAATCCTGAAAGCAACTCAAAGAGAGTCAGTTTCGAAAACCTTAACGGTTGTTGTCAGCTCATGACGGAGCCCCGCCATACACAATCCCACCAGGGTCTTCTCTGTCATTTCCTTGCACTGGTTTCCCAGCTTAAGGAACTCCGCGCGATACTCGGCCACCGAACCCGTCTGTCTGAGCTTGGCTAACTGTTCTAGAGCTCATCCCTCCGCCTTGCCAAACTGATAGCGCAGCTCGTCCTGGCACCGGGCCACGATATGACCTCACCTCTTCCGCATAAGCTCTCTCGGTCCATTCCCACCACTGGAGGGCGTCTCCCTTAAGATAGAAGGATGCCAGATGTGCCTTCCTCTCTTCTCGGATCAGGTGATTCCTGAACCACCTCTCTGCTGCATAAAGCCATAAGCCCACATCTCCCGACCATCGAACTTGGGAAACTCTATCACGGGCGGTTTAGCTCTAAACACCAATTCATCATCAGCATCATACAGGGGGTCACTATATCCATACATGCTTGTGTTCGGCATGGCTATCGGTACATCGGGCCCTGATGGTAGTAGCTACCCTCGGCTCGCTTCTGGTAAGAGTAGGGCAAGTCGCCCGTCATCTCCTGGTGTTTCCCTCCGTACTCATGCAGCCCAGTTTCTGTTCGATCTGCTTCTCTCATACAATGCAATGCTAGCTTCTTCTTTTATGATATGATATCAATAACTGCAACCAACACTCCGATCAGTTCACGTTCACCCACTACCTGTAATGTTGAGGAGGAGTTTTTAACTGGAGCTCTGTCACTTTTGCAGAGATGGGTTTGCTCGTTTTAATTTCATTTGGCGATCAAAGTTAAAGTGCGCGTGCCACATGCGTAGTAGATTTCGTATCAATAACGCGTAGTAGGTCTCGTATCAGCAACTAACTTTTACTTAGGTTAGGCTATGGCCTCATAATCAATTCAAGAACGCAAACCCCATATGTATACATTCAAAGACTTAGGTTAGATCTTTCTACTAGTGTGACCACCACACCTTACCTTTTTCCCAAGCCTTCACATGATGAAAGAGCACGGATCAGGGGCGGATCTACACATAGGCTCGAGGGGGCCCCGGCCCCCCCGAGAATTTCAGAACTTACGTATAAACTATATCGGTATTTGAAAATTTCGTATAAACTGATAAGTTATAAAATAGTTTACTGTGCTTTATTATAACACCAAAGTAAATTAGCCCAGTAGCCGGAAGCCTTCTATCCCATCCATCAGATTATGGGTTCGAAACTCAGAAGGAGCATATTTTAATTTTAGTTTTAATCTCACATTAACTTTTATCTTATGGATTCTCAATTCTGTAATTTCAATATGGTTTCTTAAACCTTTTATTTTCACTATTAAGTTTTATATGGATTCAAATTGATGATTTGATAATATTAAAAAATTATTTTGATTATTGTTTTTGCTTAATTTTATTGTCTTTTCGCAGCAACAAAATAAATCCCCCTTCGGAACGTCAAATTATGTCTTCGTCTCTAACTCAAAGATGAAATGAATTTTATGCACTTTCAACTGGTAAATCAATACTAATTTTAGAAGCACATAAATTAATGGAGTCATAAACAAAACTTATGGATACGACGTATTCACCTTTTTGAGTTTGTCTACACAAAATAAGTTGTAGTATTGATCTTATTTTGAATAACTCTATTCAACTAAAATGCTAGTTATAATAATATTAAAAATATTTTTTCCTTAATTTTTATCGTACTTTCAAAATAGTAGAATAAAAAAAATCCGCCCCCCCCCCCCCGAACTTCGAATTCTAGCTCCGCCCCTGGCACGGATCTAGGTGTGCGATTAGGGATTGCAATGGGTATGAGAATTGGGGATTTGGGATGAGGTAGAATAGGAATTAGGGTTGAGAGGAAGAGGAATCCGGTCACCGGGGTGGTGGCCGACGGGCAGAGAGAGAGGAAGGGGGCTCGGCTATGAGAGAGGGAGGGAGAGAGAGTGTTTATGGAATAATTCTGATGTTATTGCTTAACCCTAGCTTAGGCCTAACACAGAATATATATAATCCGACTAATTCTCTATACCTACCCAAAGACTTAACCTAACCGATTTAACCCCAATAATTCCCGAAATATCCGACATAACACAAAACGTCCAAATAACAAATAAACCCCCAATTAACTTATATCTAACATCTCATCCCCCTTGAAACCCACCTTGCCCTCAAGGTGGCCCTTCTTTCTTCTCTTCCTTCTTCCCTTCCACTTCTCGCGCCTCCATTTCCTCCCCTTCGTCTTCCCAGTTTCCGACAAGCAGCATCAGATGCCCCTTGACGCATTGGTGCGCCCCATCGTGTACCTTTCGTCGCAGTTGAAGCAACGACCGTCTTAGCGCTTCTGATCCATTTCCGCCTGAGTTAGCCGAACAAATCCCTTGGGCGGCAGCCTTGACTGAAACCTGTTCCCCGGCGATGCTCCAGTGGCCGCCAGGCTTGCATTTCCCGGCGATGGTGCGGTACCAGCTACTCCCGCTTACATTCCTCCACTGGCCTTCTGGATACGCCCCGCCGAAGTCCTCCAACTAGCCAACTCCTCTTCCTTGCCCCCAGCAATCCTGAAAGCAACTCAAAGAGAGTCAGTTTCGAAAACCTTAACGGTTGTTGTCAGCTCATGACGGAGCCCCGCCATACACAATCCCACCAGGGTCTCCTCTGTCATTTCCTTGCACTGGTTTCCCAGCTTAAGGAACTCCGCGCGATACTCGGCCACCGAACCCGTCTGTCTGAGCTTGGCTAACTGTTCTAGAGCTCATCCCTCCGCCTTGCCAAACTGATAGCGCAGCTCGTCCTGGCACCGGGCCACGATATGACCTCACCTCTTCCGCATAAGCTCTCTCGGTCCATTCCCACCACTGGAGGGCGTCTCCCTTAAGATAGAAGGATGCCAGATGTGCCTTCCTCTCTTCTCGGATCAGGTGATTCCTGAACCACCTCTCTGCTGCATAAAGCCATAAGCCCACATCTCCCGACCATCGAACTTGGGAAACTCTATCACGGGCGGTTTAGCTCTAAACACCAATTCATCATCAGCATCATACAGGGGGTCACTATATCCATACATGCTTGTGTTCGGCATGGCTATCGGTACATCGGGCCCTGATGGTAGTAGCTACCCTCGGCTCGCTTCTGGTAAGAGTAGGGCAAGTCGCCCGTCATCTCCTGGTGTTTCCCTCCGTACTCTGGTTTGGTCCCAGATCCCTGCCCAATGTCCCGACAGCCTCGACCTCGCCCTCCCCCTGCTCGCGGTGTACTCCACGGGGGATACCCGTACTCCTGGCCCTTGCCGGGACCCCTGCCCGGAGCGCCCCAGCTGCTATCCGCCGGTGGGTGACCCGACCCAGTACGGTCCGGTTCGAACGATCCTGGTCCGACCAATCGGGTGTCCGGTGGTCGGTCCGAGACCCAGCCCCATCTCGCCTCCTCTGGGCCCGGGTTCACCCAGCCTTCTGGGTCCGCAAAGCTAAGCTCGTCCTCCTCCCCTGGCCCAATCGACCACGGTTCTTCTCCGCCGGGCCCAGTCGGCCACGACTCTCCTTCGTACCCCACCATCTTCTGCTTCCAACGGGCCTTGTCATGGGCCGGATCCGTTGGCGTTAGCAGCAAGCCCGGACCACTGAACACTGGTTCGGGCGCGCTCGTCGCGCCCAAATCTCCCAGCTCCACGGCGCGGCTGCGCGACATGGCCGAACTCCCCAGCGCGCCGCCCGACGCAGCTGAGACCCGCGTCGTCCTCGCCTCATCACCGCCGCTAGGCGGTTTCTCCTTCGCCGCCTCCTCCTCCCGGCGCGCCACCGCCGCGGGTCCTCCAGCTCCGGTGCCGTCACTCGGCGGCTTCGCCCTGCTCGCGGCCGCCACGTAGCCGCCACCCTGTCCCGCCATCCTCGCTGCGGCCGCCGCCGGTTTCGCCTCCAGGGCTGCAGTCGCCGGCGACTCCCAGTTCTTAAGAACCTGGGTTAGCACCTCCTGCATCGTCGCCGCCAGGGCTCCGCAGATGTTCTCAACCACGTTCTTGCTCATCTCTTCATTGGAAGCCATGATCTGGTTGCCCATGGCTTCGATTTCCCCGATCGAGCCCCTCGAGACCTCAGCTGCCCTCACTGTAACCTCCGTCAGGCTCTCCAACGATGCTGCCATCGCATCATACTTGCTTGTCGTCACATCCTTGACCGTCACGACATCCTTGTTCTGGCGCGGCGATTGCTGTTTGTCCATAGGGCTTGACATCTTCGGATTGCAGTGTTCCTTCAGAGAATCGGCACATCAACCAGGCTCTGATACCACTGAAAGAGCACGGATCTAGGTGTGCGATTAAGGATTGCAATGGGTATGAGAATTGGGGATTTGGGATGAGGTAGAATAGGAATTATGGTTGAGTGGAAGAGGAATCCGATCACTGGGTGGTGGCCGACGGGCAGAGAGAGAGGAAGGGGGCTCGGCTATGAGAGAGGGAGGAAGAGAGAGTGTTTAGGGAATAATTCTGATGTTATTGCTTAACCCTAGCTTAGATCTAACACAGAATATATATAATCCGACTAATTCCGTATAACTACCTAAAGACTTAACCTAACCGATTTAACCCCAATAATTCCCAAAATATCCGACATAACACAAAACGTCCAAATAACAAATAAACCCCAATTAACTTATATCTAACACATGAACCCTAACCACTATATTTTCTGTAAGTCTTTACTGGCAATTAGATCCCATGAACAAGACGAGTGAATGATCCGAGGATTTAGTATCATTTCATGATAGAACTCCTCAAGATGTTAATTACTTAACTAAACCAGCTGGTACATGTTCTGGTTTAAGAAGAACCGTATGTGATTCATAAAAGCCTGCTAGGTGTTACAATAAGGCTGTACAAACTGCAGAGTAAAAACTGTAATGATTTCCCACCATTTATGTATCTGATGATCGCTCTAGAGTATTACAGATAGAGCCAGGTTTTACATACTGGTCGTGGTGGAAAGGATCATCAGCAGCACCATGAACTGAGCTCAGTCGAGGGGAGAAGTTACCGCCAACACCTATTCCTTCAACTTCGATGCAACTGGACCAAGCACTTGCTTCCTCTTTCAACTTGAGATAGTACATGGATGACCAGTAATCTTTTGCAAGATTCTTCAGGAAGAAACGCAAACAACAGAAATGGAAGTTTTAACTTTTAATCTTTAATCTAAAAAGGGAGTCGACAGTCACTAGTGTTTCAAGTTTACCCACCGTTTTCATGAGCTGCATCACTTCATTCAGTGCAGCGCTGAAGAGATCAGGGTCTGCCAAGTTGGTCGTCGTCAATATGTCTTGCCGCGCTCGATAAGAAATGTTTACCTCCATCGGTGCACCTGAATGACAGAGGAACAACTCTTGAGCAATGTTCGAGAAACCACAGACTGAATAAGTTACCTCATTGTGCATGGCAGAGAGATACTGAACAGGGATGAAACATGCCTCAAAGTAAACAAGAGGTTCGATTTCACAATAATCATTCTGGTTTCACCACAGAACAGACAGCAAATTATGGATAACTGGAACAAACTTGGGGCTCCACGACTATAAAACGATTTGCTTTGCTGCTTGTGAATAAAGCTAACTGAAATCCAAACCATCCGTCTCATCGGACCTAAGAACCCAGCCAATTTGAAATCACCCAAGCAAATAGAGCTTTACAGGCGGGGATAGGGAGGCTGGTGATATGTAAAATCGGGGTTTTCAGGGCTGGATATGGTTTAGGCTTTAAACTGAGTAATAACTTATGTTTATCAGCCACCAATCAAGCGTGACATTCCATGTCCTCTCCACTCAAGCTCATCAAATCACCCCCACCCCCAACATCTTCAACGCCTTAAATATTTGAACTCTTAAGTTTATTTTTAATGACTTTTTTTGTTTATTAATATCCAGCATAAGAGATTCTTAAATTAGTAAAATCATTAGTGGAACCATCATCAGATTAACTGTTATTCTCTAGCCGAAGATAGTTCTGAACTGCTACTTCCAGCCATTCAGATTAGACTACGATAGTTGTTTTGGTGGTTGCCACCAAAAACAGACCTAACTCAAATATCAATGCTACATTTTTAAGATTGGGTTTGGATTACTTGTTATATAGACCAAGATGCTTCGGTCGATTGGTTCAAAAGGGTCAAATCCGACACCAACAACCCACCATTAGACTCATGTCTGTCGCAACCAATGTTAAAGAAATAAGCAGAAAATTCTGTGAACACAAACCTGCAACTACATACTTCTCGATAATGTGGCGTGCCATGTAAATGCTTCGTACAGGATCATCAGTAGGAATTTTACCGAGTTCATAGACTTCATTGTAGAAATGCACACTTTCCCCAGCTAAACAACTGTTAATCAGAAGAAACGTCGTTATGACATGACTGATACATTCTCCTATCAGTTCCCAAAGGGACTAAATATAGTGCAAGAGGAAGAACCACCTGTCAGCAAACGCCATAAATGATTGGCGGAATCTTCGGTTGAGAAGAAGCTTATCTAGTGGGTCGGAAGAGTCAACGCCTGGAGCTGGATCTCGTTGAAAAAGAAGCCCACTATCAGGTATTCCCAACGCTTGACCCATTGATCGAAATTCTGAAGGTTCCCTTCTCCTCAAGCTGATTTGAGCGAGCAAAGGCTGAGAACTTGACATGGAGAAGAAAGCCAACACAAGAACACTTGCCTGTGAAGGATCATACCTGAGACGTAGTTAGCAACAACATATTAAGCTAAATCGTACTAAGCAATACCTAAAGGTGTAGGTTGGGGTAATAGAAAGAGGAAACAGATGAAATCTGAAATGAGTTGAAAATAGGGTGGATTTGAAAAATATCCTATTGACTGGGTGACTTTTGCTGTTAGTTAATAAGTGTTCATGTAAACTGAGTTTTGCCAAAGTATACTTGGATATAAGAGAAGTCGGAATGATCCAGCTTCAACAGATTCCATCGGCCTTTAAAATGACCAACCAAATGATGAAATTGATATTTCGTCACTCTAGGGAAAGTTGACCACATAACATCTTCAAATTATGTCATTAAATGACCAACAAAAGGAAGTTAGATGAAAAGATGCGACTCTACAGCTGAAAATAACTGACCGTAACCAGAAGCAAAAATCTTGACAGAACTTGGAGCCACGCAACATCATCATGGACTTCATTCAATATATACGCAACGACCCAAACTCCTGGAGATTAAGAAAAGCTGAATTTGATTAAAAGGAGTTGAGATGAGCATTGCAAAACAAGCAAAGAGATGAAAAGTGTACCTATGGATGATGAAGAAACAAGTATCCCCTGCCAAAGGTCCTTGAGTTCATCAAACTTGAACTCGATATGCCGAATCGACCTGGTGCATCCAACTAAGGCAACAACATAGAGCGTGTGAAGGCACGTAACTGGGACTATCCACCGTGTCCCCATGTGGCAACGGTGATTCATTGCCTTCTTTGCATGGATAACTACAAGTGGGATAAAACAGCGTCCTGGTCATCAAATATGGTAACACGAGGTAGGTCAATCTTGTTAGACTATTTTCAAGAAACATACATGCAGCTCCAGCAATCCATGGCGAGAGAGCCAACGGCAGAAACACATAGGATCTTATTGGTGGTAATCGTCTCCTATCAAATGGAGAAAAGGACTCAGACGTTAATTGATGAAGAAATTGGAAAACGAGCAGAATTATATAACTATTTAGTCCAAAACTAGAGTTCTATAATTAGTAAGCCTGCCATTTACTTGACAAATATGAAGTACAGTTGAAATGCCTGTGCAATACGACAGCTTAGCAACAAACCAAATCCTAGGGGACCTTCGAACCACACTGCACATGAAAGAGGACACAAAAGAATTTGGCTTCAGAGTTCGAACCAATGAAGTAGGCAGAAAGCATAGTTGAGAATTTGATAATACTGTCGAAGTTTGAATGACCTGCCCAGATATAGCAGGATGTCCACCAATGCTTCTTTTCTAATTTCAGGAAGTTGATTGACAGCTGGGAGAGGAAATAGCTCAGGTTTAGATGGAATTATCCTAACCGACATTGCCAATCAAAGAACAGCCAGAAAAATCCTGGCACTAACATATCACCAACGTACCACTAGAGATAGCAAAAGGTTGAAGCTGCCAAAAACTTGAAATACCGGGAACCAGAAACCACTACCGTTGGTTCTTGGAACCTTGTGGACCAAGCAGGGAAACACCGACCTCGAAAGAAGCCTGGAATCAAACAATGCATTGCTCAGAAATCATGACTCTACTGTAGTGTAGTCCTAAAACTTAAAAGCAATATATCATAGCAAGTATTAAAAGAAAAACATGGTCAGTAAAAACTTCTGTACTTCATTCCTCCAGGGTTTCCCCATTTCACCAAAACCTAGCATTTAGACTAGGAAAACTTCCATCTTTCGTAATGGAACAGAATCTCACGTCTTCCATGGAGCTTGGGGTTACAAACAAGACGAGAGAGAATCAATTGCGTCGACATGCCCAAAAGCTCAACAATAAAGCAGACAAATTTCTAACGACAGCCAACAGGGTAGAAAAAGGTTACTACTTAATCCTGGTTGCAGCATAACGTCGAACAACAGGGGAGCAGGAGCATCCACCAAACACACAGAATCCCACAACTCAAAGAAAGAAATCACGAAGCTTAAAAGCAACCCATCAAAAGAAAAGGGGAAAGGGAGGAGCTACTAACAGCATCATAGAGAGTATGGCAATGGCTATGGCTACATAATCGGTGGGGCATCCTCCTTGTACCGCGCAGCTGTTGGTGCTCGCCATTCTCTTGTTGCATTGGATGCCCTTTTTCTTCCCCTTCAAAGTTCAAACCTAGAACAAGAAGAAACCTCGATCCAGACTCCAGAGGAAAGTGAGGAATTAACTTATTTTCCCCTTCTTTGCTTCAATTCCCAGACATCGTGGGAAGCAAATACAAGCCCAGCGGGGTTGGTGAGCGGGTTTTTGGGGAGGGGAGTTCCAACGACAGTCCAACTTCCATGTCAGCCTTTTGACTCTTCCGCGAATGCCTTAATTTGACTGAACTCTCTCACAATTTGGTCATTGGTGTCCAATTTGTCTATGGGAATGCTCACTAATAGTGAGTAACACGTTTATATTAGCGTGACATCAACGTCTTAATCTCTCAACAAAAATATTTTTTTTTTCCTTTTAATTTTAAATGGACGATTTTTCTCATGTTCTAAGTCGGAATTTGAATCTTTTTCATAGATAAATCAGATTAATTGTGCTCGTTAAAATAAGATTCACTTTAATATATTTTTAGAACGAAAAAATTGAGGCATTTTTTACTAGTGAATACCATATATACCATATGTTATTAAATAGGAGCATACCATATGGTAAAAAAAATGTACTAGTATAAACATACCAAGATTGTAGGAATGTTAAATACATGATAGTGGGAGTATAATAAATATCATTTACGATTTTCATCATTGTTTACTACAAGTTACCACCCTTATAGACTGTCAAAAAAAAAGTTACCACCCCCATACCAGGGAGGTATGAAAAAATAATTCTCAAAATATATTAAAAATTACTATCATTTTGTAGAGCACAACGATCTCGTTCCTCTTGGTGCAAAAAAAAAATTGAAATCCGAGTTAGAATGAAAAAGATAAGGGCCGATCAAGAAAACTAGGAAAATAATCGTTACTTCCACTATACTCTTCCCGATCTTTTGTTATACTTTGTCATTTATTGGAGTGGTAGTTTTAGCGAATCAATTTTTTGGTGTCGTTGTTGTGGACATTCTAGGCTATTAGGAAAGGTAAAATTTTGCTAATTTAGCTTTTCCTTATTTTATTTGTTTTGTTTCACACCCTTCCTTTTCACTTGGATTTTTTTTTTTGCAGGTTTAAATTATGAATTCCAACGACTTCTCCAACATGTGAGAGTACCAATCAACAACCAAGTGGTGTTACCCCCAGACTTTACAAGATAACCAGCACAGAGAAGACTACCGATTTGGGTTCCAAGAACAGCCACCTTTCTACAATGCACAACTATACCCTTGGGTAATTCAAAAACCTCATCTATATTAGGAAGACATCTCTCCACAACCATTGGGGGCATCTGAGTTGGATAGCCATGACGGCTTTCATGGGCCAGTATGCAGAGTCATGCTACATGATGTTCAAATTGTAGATCAAAATTAAAATCCTAGGGCATGCCTAAAATAGTAAAGTTGTTTAGGTGTTTTTCAATTTATAGATGCATAATAGTAAAGATGTGTTATTGTAGAAGAGAGCAAATTCGAGTATTGTCATGCATACTAGAGCTGAAACAACATGTATCAATGATTCATCTATACATCAATATATAGCTTCCACTAAAGTCATTTTATAACCGTGCACGCATTTCGACAAAATGGTTGAGGTGGGCATGCTTCTCCACATGAGAAGAATAGAGGCATTGTGGTGTTCATAACCATTAGGGGTGGTAAACGGTAAGCCGGTAAACGGTTTACCGTTTTACCGACGTATCAGCGGCCGAGGGGGAACTTGGGCGACTCGGTTTACCAGACACGGTAAGTCGGTAATACCGATACCGAAATCCCCCCTCAAATCCAGTCACTCAAATTACTGAAACATGTCACATTTAGGTACTCGAATTACTGAAACATGTCAAATTTAGTCACTCTCCCGTTAGTTTCCGTACAACTTCATTAATGGAGTTGGACGGAAACTAACGGGAGAGTGACTAAATGTGACATGTTTCAGTAATTCGAGTGACCAAAATTGATATTAAATTTTTCTAGTGACTAAACATGACACAATTTAATAATCTCAGTGATTAAATGTGACATTTACCCGATAATTATTGCATCCTAATCAGCAGCATCAACACGACTCGCGAAAAAAGCTTGTAGAGTTGCAGCTTGTCAATTCAACAACTGTAATGGAAGAACAAGATGATCTCCAACTCTCTTCTTCAAACTGAAAAAGAACACCGTCTAGGCATTTACACAGTAGATGTATTCAGTAGCAACTTATACACACATATTTAGATTACCTTGTCAAGTCTTGTAAGTACAAAGTTGATCGATGCATTATTAAAATGTTGTGTCATAGTCAGGTAGGCTCAAAGATTTCAAGGTTGATAAAGCCAGTCTTGTAGTTTAGTTTTTTACTTTTTTCACTTAAACATGAAAGCGGGGATGGAAACCTTTTAAACCATTCACTATATTCACATTTGTTTATCCATTTCTTTAAACACAAGTAGTACACGTTGAACAAACTCTCATTTCAATCCTCCTCTTCCATGATCCTCTCAATGCCAATAAAATTACAGAACATCTTCAAACTCAACCCAACTGTTCCAATGTCGAACCCGAAAGTTCCATCTGACATATAGAGACATGAATTTCCAGCCACCGGAAATGAATAAAATCAACATATACAGCCAACACAGGTCCCTTCTTTCTTAGCCAAACATCACAGCAGGGTAGAAACACAAAGCAGCATCAAAACTTGCTAGCCATTGATTGATCCACTGTTCCTCCCTCCGCAACCTTCTTTCACAAGCAACTCCACCATCTCTGCAAAAACATCAGCCACCGGATAATAAATCAACCAAAGTTCCCAACTTCATCATAAAGAAACCAGCTTTGACCATTACTATTGCATCCAATTGTGTTCCTAATTCTACTGTCGCTAAAAACATATTTTGTCATTTGTAAACATTCAGCTTTCACCCTTCCACTCGTGCCCTGTTGAAACCGTTTGATTCTACATGGAGTAAGCATAAAATTCGATAACAGATGTCGGATAGAAACTTATTTGATTGAGTAAACTCATGAAAGCGTAAACCTGTAGAAGTTGACTCGAAATTTTGATTACACAGGCTTACCTTCAAAGATTTGAGGAAACGGCGGAGCCTGCCTCTCTTCCTTGTTTTGATCTGATCAGCCAGCTTGAAGGACAGATTCCCGACACAGAACCCACTGTTCTTCTCTTTCCTAACGATGTCGAATATGGCACTGTAACCGTCTGCTGATGATGGATCGCTCTCGTCCCATTCCCCAAACCTTGGCAACGAGCCACCATCGTTACTCCCGTTGTTGTTCTTCTTCTTCCTATTCCTCTTGTTCCTCTTCTTCTCCTTCTTCTTCTTCCACTTCTTCTCCTGCTTCAGTCTCTCCCTCTCCTGCCTCCTCCTCTCCCTATCTCCCTTCTCAAACTTTCCAATCTTAACACATAATATGGAAAACGGAAAACAAATCCACGTAAAGCTTTAGTCAGAAAGAAACACAATTGCGAGTCGGAACTGGTAAGTGAAGCTGCAAAACCACTTTTTACCTCAAACATAGTGCAGGCTGCAGCAAACTGTCACAAACATCTAAAGGCGAAAAAAGAGCTAGTTATACCGAAATGGAGGAAGGAACAAATTACTCCATTTTCATCTCAGACAAGAACATGTATAATGTGTACAGATCAAGTGTTTTGGCATACATAAGAGTCAAGAAGTGGAACTTCATATACAGCCTGGATCCAGTTTAGGTAGATGCTAACTACGCACGAGAATCATTCAAGAAGGTGGCCGTCTTGATTGGGTCATGAGATCATCTCCCATTGGCAAGAAGACAAGGACAAGGAGACAAGAACAGTCCCCCCTTAGCACTAGAAGTTATCAACAGACTTGCATTGCAGAAGACGATGAGTCTGAACAAGATGACTTTGTCATCAAGCAGCAACAAGACAGTGTATTTCCCGGGGGGCGGGGATAGCTTCAGTGCTATAGTGTAGCTCCAAACCTCCCTGTCTTTAGCAGGACAAGCACTTGGGAATCTCAGAAGCAGAAACTTTATTTTTCTCCTAATGATTTGAGCTGTAAGGGAAATACCAACAAGGAAGGATATCTTGACCGGTTTGGAGAGCTCAAACGGCTTCCCACTATTCTTTCACACTTACTGATGCCTCCTCTTTTGTTTTATTGTCAAGCTAGTTCCTTCCTTAATATTCAAGAAAAGATCTTTGTAATAGACATTCTATTGTTCCTTTTTCAGTTACCACCAAAAAGGAGCATAAGAACCTCTAATCTGTTGTTAGTATTGTTACATTCCAAATACAAGGTTTGATTCAAGGATGAAGCCTATCTTCTAACTTGTGCTCCTTGATTTCAAAAAAAGATAGTATTGGAAGCAATGAGAGATCTTAATAGTTATAAGTTCGAGGAAAAAAGTCGGTCTAACCAAGTTATAGACTACTTCAAGGCCTTGAAAGATTGGCTGCTGTAGCGCCATGAGATCCCTCCAATGAGATTGTTCAAAGCATGGGCAGCCATTGGCACGACAATGCTCGAGGATGCTATCGTGGCGTAGCCATAGATGCAGCCAACGAAGGTTGCCCTGCAGAAAGGGGGAATTAACCGAGAATCAGTACATAAAATGGACCTAGACAGAACTGACCAGAAGCAAATTCAAGCAGTTAGCTACAGCGAGAACACTCTTCAAGTCCATCCCAAGGCATACTACCAGAAAGCGAAGGAGTACTTTCGACCATTTCCGAGGTGTAAGATGCCGAACAAGGCAGCAACAGCGAGAACACTCTTCAAGTCCATTCCAAACAGCGGCTGCAAGGCGCCCCGGAAAAGGAGCTCCTGTAAAGAGAGAGGGAGATTCCCAAATTCCATCAACAAGAAGTTGTTGCTTCTATCAGTTGTATGCAATTGGGTTCCCCCACTTACCTCGCTGACTCCGGGCAGAAATGCAACTAGTAAGTAATCCAGAGGCTCAAGAGATGTGAGAACCTGCAAAATTGCAGCAGCTCATTGTATGCAAAGCAAAATTTCCCCCCAAAAACCATCCACTGAGAATCAATCAATAGGGTTCCTTCCTTCCTTCCTAACCTGCTGGTTTGCTGCTTCAGAGGACTCCCTGAAATCCGGCCATGTCTTCAGTAGCAAGAATCGAGATGAGGATATTACTAGAACTAGTCCAAATATCAATCCAAGGTGCCATATCTCAAACCCAACTGCACAGAGAGAGAAACAGAGCGTAAGACCAGAAAGCTGGAATTCACTCTCCAATGCCAAAATAAATATATAAAATTTTTGAACGATCATACAAGAGACTTGCTCGGAGCAGTCAAGAACGGGCAATCCTTCCTCCGCAGCAACATGAGATACCTAAAGATGATTAAGAAAAGTTTCAAACTTGTCAATATTTTTTCACCCATCAAAGGAAAAACAGTGTTCTACTTGGCAGTCCTTGGTATTTTCATTGTGGAGTTTACCTGCCGAAGTAGTATACCCAAGGCGGCAATGAGCCCAGAAGTGAGTGTGCAAGCTTGAATCACAGCTCCCCTCGGAGGGTTAACTATTCCGACATTTGAATCCGCCGGATTCTCGTCCACTGAAAAACGTTCATCGGCAGAAGTCTGCAGAGAAATGGCGGCTTCCGATTTTGCTTCTTCCTCCTCCCTCTGTTTCTTCTTCAACACCCTCCGTCTCCCAGAAGCCCTAGTTCGAAATCTGCAGCCCTTTGGCATCGTAATCAAACATATGCTCGGCCGCCATGGAAGTAAAGCAGAGGAGTAACCCAGAGCTCTAACTCGGCAACAATTTAACCCGACCGTCAAAGACATAGCTTAGCTTCTCGCCGGCGACAATGGCTGGGAGAAGTGCGAAAATTCTTCTAGCAGTTTGGCATTTCCTTGTTGGAGATGGTCTTATTCCCCTGTTTCTGGGTTATCGTTTATGAATCTGTTCTGGGTTCCAGCCACGTGGCTGGCCAACATTAGCCATGGCCCATAGCCCTCAATTTTCAAGAGTTTAGATAGTTCAATGGTTAAGCAGGTGAATTAAGAGTTAATATATAACTTTTACGTTTAACCTTTAAATAAATTTCTGTAATCAACACCTGTGTTCTAAACAAGTAAACAGTTAATACAGATGGTTTCCAATTTTTCCTCTTCTAAAAAACAACCAAAAACACAAAGGGCTTGATTTTTCTCTCCCCTTCTCATTGCAATTGATATTATAGCTATTGTTACATAAATAAGATTAGGAGTGATCAAACGTAATGATTACCGTAGAAATCGTTTTAACCGGTAATATTTGGATAATTGGTTTGGTTTGGTTTGGTTTGTAGTCAAAATCGCGCTTTAGAGTTTAAGAACTAACGTTTTTATGTTTCTAGGTCACCAAAACGCTTCTACGCAAAATCGTAGTTTTTATAGCTAATGTAGTTAAAACGTGATTTAAAGCTTAAAAACTTACGATCTTACGTTTCCAGATCACCGAAATGCTTCTACGTAGAAACGCACTTTTGACTACATTGTTTGGTTAAATTTGTTAGCTTATTTGGTTTAGATGGTTTGGTTTGATTTCAGACACTCCTATCCAATCAAACCCAATTAACCAGTTAAGTAATTAGTCATATATCTAATATATATTATATACACATACTTAATACTTTGCATAAACACTAAAGATTCAAAAGGTTCCTCTCTTTTAGTCACATAAAAAAATAAAGCTCAATATTGTTCTATATTGTATATTTGTATTTGTAAAGTGTAGACCACAATATATGAAAGCCTAATTTAGATAAAAACTCATATATTATGTTGAATGAAAAATGAAAGGAAGGTCTTTCTCAGCCTAGCTATGATAATTGATAAGAGGCTAAGTGAATTTACACAAACACAACAATTTATTAACCCCATACCATTGCACATATTTTTGTTAGATGAGTACTTCTATTGACTGTAAGATAATTGCATAAGTTGCATGTATTTATGTTAAAGATTAACTACAATTATATGTTGATTGTTATGTTTTATTCATTATATAAATTGCGAATTTATGCATTAACCAGAAAATTTTATCACTTAATGATAATGTTATGTTATATTGGTTAATCTGGTTAAACAATTAACCAAATCGACTAAATTTTACTTTGGTTAATTTGGTTGTTATAATAGTTTGGACGGTTTGGCTTGTTATATTAGTTTGTATTCCATGGTTAATAGAATTTACGCTTATTTAGTTTGGTAATTACCATGATAATCATTTGAACACCCCTAAATAAGATGTGACTCATTTTTAATAAAAATTTTAATTATTCAATTCAAAATTCTCTTATAAAACATAAAATTTGTATTATAGGAACTAAATTTACATTATTCATTCGCAAAATGTTTTTAAAACCACAAATTTGTGATGTAAAAGGAGCTGAATGGAGACACTTGAAGTTAAAAAACTAAAAGAATCAAAATATCAAAGTCGAGAAACTAAACTACTATCTTACCAACATGATACTTTATGAGATTCTCTTGGATATTTCCCCTTTCAATTTCATTCACACCATTAAAAATCCCAACAATCCCCCACGTGAATGGAGAATGTTATACTTAAAAAAACTATGCAAAAAACTGTCATTCTCGACTAAGAATTACTTGCATGGGGATAGGTGGGTTTCCCTTTGAACATTACTTAGTGAATACATATCGAGTATACTCACCAATTTGTAGATGTGATATTTTTGAACCGTTGGTTTTGCTTGTATACCAAGACAATATATGTCACACAACTAACTCTTATCCGTTCACTGGTGGTTCTCATTTTTGTGTTCATTTTAGCCATTAACACCGCCTAGTCTCATGAGTGCTTAGAGAACTGGTCTTCTTTTATCTCCTTGAAACGGATCCATTTCACACTTACATAGTTGATTTCTAAACGTGTATTATTAAAATACATTGTTTGATTACACCACTTGTCAAACTTAGAAACCATTAAAAACCTTTCATATTTAGCTGTTTACCCTTATTTTGAATATTGTCTCATCGTGAGAATGGACTTTGAATAATATGACAATGTCAGATTATCATTCACAACTTTGTTTATTCTTGAATCTATAGATTTGATCTGCCAATCCTACTTAGATAGAGTTATCGCCATGATGATTTGTCCTAGGCCACGAGTTCATTCCCTTCGATGCCTTAAAATAATTTCTATGTGGGCCCCTTATTTTGAATACAATTCTTATCCGTTCCTCTTCCAAAAAAACTCGAATAACCATTTTATGTTCCACCATAAATCCATTCGATTCCTCTAATTACATTTATGATTATAGCAAGAGATACAAACACACTCACGCAGTCACGCATGATCGTTTGAGAATATCTAGAAATTGGACGATGATAGTAAAGTAAACAAACATTCTTGAAAATATTATAATCTAAAAATAAAATTCTATTACCAAACGCAACTTGAGCGTACACAAATTTACAACCAATTCATTCACTACACTAATGTTGTAGTCACTACTAAACCTATCTCCGACGACAAAGAAACCGTCTATGACGCAGCATCCGCCGCCGTGGGCATCTCGAATCGACAAATTGGGCAGTAATGGCTCCGTTTCAACCAAGAAACAATGCACTCCTCGTGAAACACATGCTTGCAAGGCATCGCCGCAGCCGCAGCCGCGCCGCCACCGCCCAACTCGTCCAAGCAGATCGAGCAACTCTCCCCCCGGCCGGCGATCGACTCCGCTTCCACCGCCGCCAGTTTCGCCAGAGCCTCAGGCGCGGCGGGGACCATCCCGTTGTTGTTGTTATTCCCGTTCCCCTGCCCCGCCGCCACCAGCGCCGCCATTGCGAACCGCCTAAACCAGCTCCTGGTCGGCTCGTCGTCGAGTGGGAGATTGTGCACGACGTCGTCCACCCTCTTCACCCTCCACACCACGCGCAGCTCCGGGAGCGTGCGCGGCAGGTCCTGGGCCAGCTCGTCGATCTGTCGGGTCAGGGAGAGGCCCAGTTGCTGGCGGGCCCATTCGGGTATACCGAGATGGGCCCAGACGGCAGCGAGGTTTTGGAACATGTGGGCGGGCCGGATGCGGAGCATCCCCAACGTGCCCACGTCGAAGGAATGGGGTGGCGACTCCATCGACGCGCCGAGCACTGGGTCGAACGCGAGGATGCGGCCGTACCGGAAGATTTGTCTCTGGACCATGGTGCAGTGGACGGTGACATGGAGGCGCGTGGAGGAAGTTGTGGAGACCAAAGTCGGCCGCGGCGGCGCGTTGGGTTCGAGGGGCGGCGGGTCTTGGAGAGTGACGTCGGAGAAGAATCGAGGAGAAGCAACGAAATCCATCGCCAAAAAAGCATATGGATTTTGAGTGTGGAGAGAGCAGTATATAAGAAATTTGAGTGGTTGTCTGCTTGGGCGGGTGAAACAAATTCCGTTTCCTAATCAGACTAGGAAATTACCCGTGTGGGTCTCGGATTAGTGCTATAGCACTGGAGTCCGAATCCGATCAGGAAACGGAAATTAAACGATATGGTAATAGTAATAATCAAGGTTGTTAAACTCCTACCGAACCCCCGGTTGGACCCGGTTAGACCCGAGTCGGGCTTCAAAACGGCCTCCAGAAAACCCCCCGGTCTGACCCCTAAACAGGGAGAAGAAGAGATGCGGAAGAGAGTAAAAGGAACGAAGGAAGGGAAATGGTAGGTGGATCATGGAGGTTAGGTAGATTTATTTTGTTGAAAATAAGTTTTTAATAGATATATGTAAGATAAATTTTATTTCACTCATTAAATTTTTATTGTATATAAATTTAGAAAACGTCTAAAACGGCTCAAACCGGCCGGACCCCGATCAGACCATTAAACCTCAAACCCCTTACTTGATCGGCTCAATGACTTAAACCGGTTTGACAACCTTGAGTAATACATGAATGCAGTTCTATCAAAATAAAAATAAATAAATAAATAAATAAATAAATAAATACATGAATGCAGTTTCTAGATCCCAAGCTGGATATGCAGTAGATCCTATTCGTTTGCTGGTGCCAAAGAGTCGAGTATGATATAAAGTGGTTTTGATTTTTATATAAATATTATCATAAACATAAATTTTGTTAATTCGAAGTTGGGGCGTGTCTGGTTGTTCTGGGATCCAACAATTAAGTTACAAGTGCTGAAACCAAGTAAGAATTTCATTCACTGTTTGATTGAGGATGTGAATAATGACTCATTTTTTCTTACAGCAGTCTATGCTTCGAATGATGAAGCTGAAAGAAGGCAAACTTACAGGGAGATCGCGCAGTTGAAGGTGAGTGGCCATCCATGGATAGTAGGTGGATATTTCAACACTGTCAGAACGCCTATGGAAACATCTAATCAACGTGTAGTTACTACAAGTATGGAGGACTTCAATCAGTGGATTGAGGAGATGGAGCTGTTAGATTATAGAACAACAGGTCCACAGTTTACATGGACAAAAAGACAGGCTCACCATCCTATAGCTCGAAGACTTGACAGGGGCCTGGTTAATATGGATTGGATTGAGTATTTTCAAGATTGTACTATGGAAACTATCCCGGGTCATTTCTCAGATCATTGTGGAGTGAAGGTGAGTACGGTGGCTCCTCTTCAATCAATGCCTAAACCGTTTAAATACTTTGAATATTGGGCCGAGCACCCCCTCTTTTTAGGGATAGTTGAAGCTGCTTGGAATGTAGAAGTTACTGGGACACCATTGCAGATCATACAGAGGAAGTTGGTAAAGGTTAAAATTGCTCTAAAGAAGTTCAATAAGGAAGTCTATGACAATTTACAAGATCAAGTTAAACAGGCAGAGAGTGCTTTGTTGCGAGCCCAGGTTGATGCATATTCCATTCCCTCCACAGCAAACTTTGAAGAAGTAACAGCTCGTAA